GTATCCTGCAACTTACTGAATTCATTTATTCTAATAATTTTTTTGGTGGAATCTTTAGAGTTTTCTATATATAGTATGTCATCTGCAAACAATGACAGTTTTACTTATTCCTTACCAATTTGGGTGCCTTTTATTTTATTTTATTTTTTGTCTGAGTGCTGTGCCTAGGACTTCTAGTACAATACTGAATAAAAGTGGTGAAAGTGGACATCCTTGTTTCTGATCTTAGGGGGAGAGAGCTTTAGCTTTTTACCATTATGATGTTAGCTTTGGGCTTGTTATATATGTCTTTTATTATGTTTAGGGATGTTCCTTCTGTGCCCACCTTGAGAGTTTTTATCATTAATGGATGTTCAATTTTGTCATTTTTTTTTCTACATCTACTGAGATGATCATATGACTTTTATCCATTTTGTTAATGTACTTCACATCAATTGATTTGCAGGTATTGAACCATCTTTGCATCCCTGGAATAAATATGACTTGATCATGGTGAATGATCCTTTTAATGTATTTTTGAATTCTGTTCACTAATATTTTATTGAGGATTTTTGCATTTATGTTCATCAAGGATAATTGGCCTATAGGTTTTTTTGTGTTTGTTTGTTTGTTTTATAGTGTCTGGTTTTGGTATCAGGGTAATGCTGCCTCATAGAACGAATTTTGAAGGCTTTCTCCTGTTTTTTGGGATAGTTTGAGGATAGTATTAACTCTTTGTTAAATGTTTGGTAGAATTTACCTCTGAAGCCATCTGATCCTGGACTTTTGTTTATTGGGAGTTTTTTATTACTGGTCCAATTTTGTTACTATTAATTGGTCTGTTCAGATTTTCTATTTCCTCCTGATTCAGTTGGAAGATCGTATGTTTCTAGGAATTCTTTCTTCTAGGTTGTACAATTTTTTTTTAAGATTTTATTTATTTGACAGAGACACGGCGAGAGAGGGAACACAAGCAGGGGGAGTGGGAGAGGGAGAAGCAGGCCTCCCGCCAAGCAGGGAGCCTGACATGGGGCTTGATCCCAGGACCCCAGGATCATGACCTGAGCCAAAGGCAGACGCCTAATGACTGAGCCACCCAGGCACCCCTAGGTTGTACACTTTGTTGGCATATAGTTTTTTGTAGTAATTGTTTGTAATTTTTTATATTTTTATGGTGTCAGTTTTAACTCATCTTTTATTTCTGATTTTGAGTTTTCTTGATTAGCCTGGCTAAAGTTTTATCAATTTTGTTCATCTTTTCGGAGAACCAGCTCTTAGTCTCATTGATCGTCTCTGTTGTTTTTTTTTTAGTCTATATTTCATTTATTTCTACTCTAACCTTTATTATTTCTTCTACTGACTTTGGGCTTTGTTGGTTCTTTTTCTAGTTCCTTTAGATATAAGGTTAGATTATTTAAAATGCTCTTGTTTCTTGAGGTGGGCCTGTATCACTATAAATTTCCCTCTTAGAAATGCTTTTGCTGTGTGCTAAAGATTTTGAACTGTAGTGTTTCCATTTTAGTTTGTCTCCAAGTATGTTTTGATTTCCTCTTTGTTTCTTTGTTGATCCATCAGTTGCTTAGTAATCTATTATTTAGCTTCCAGGTATTTTGTGTTTCTTTAGTTTTCTTGTAATTGATTTCTTTCTAATTTCTTACTGTTATGGTGGGAAAAGATGCTTGATATGATTTCAGTGTTCTTAGACTTGTTTTATGGCCTACCATGTGATCCGTCCTGGAGAATGTTTCATGTGCACTTGAATAGATATTTTGCTGTTTTGGGGTGGAAAATTCTGTTTATATCTGTTAAGTCCACCTGGTCTAGTGTTTCATTCAAAGCCACTGTTTGATTTTCTGTCTGAATGATCTATCCATTGATGTAAGTAGGTGTTAAAGCCCCCTACTATACTATTATTGTCAATTTCTGCCTATATATCTGTTATTTGCTTTATTTAGATGGTGCTCCTATGTTGGATGCATAGATACTTGAAATTATTATGTGAACTGATCCTTTTTATCATTATTTAATGACCTTTTTTGTCTCTTTTTACAGTCTTCGTTTTAAAGTCTATTTTACTTGATATGAGTATTGGTATCCCATTTTCCCTCTGCTTTATTTGCATGGAATATCTTTTTCCATCCCTTCACTTTTTTTTTTTTTAAGATTTTATTTATTCATTAGAGAGAGAGCACACAAGTAGAGAGGAAGGGCAGAGGGAGAAGCAGACTCCGCACTGAACAGGGAGCCCAATGTGGGGCTCGATCCCAGAACCCTAGGATTATGACCTGAGCTGAAGGCAGACGCTTAACTGACTGAGCCACCCAGGCACCCCTCCATCCCTTCACTTTCAATCTGTATGCTTCTTTAGGTCTGATATGAATCTCTTGTAGGCAGCATATAGATGGGTCTTGTTTTCATTCAGTCACCTTATATCTTTTCCTTGGAGCATTTAGTCCATTTACATTTAATTATTGATAGGTAGGTACTTACTACCATTTTGTTGTTTTTTGGTTGTTTTTGTAGTTCTGTCTTCCCTTGTGATTGATGGCTTTGTTTAGTGTCGGGCTTGGATTCCTTTCTCTATCACAGGTTTTTGGTTTGTGGCTACCATGGGGTTCATATATAACACCCTATGTGTATAGCAGTCTATATTGAGATCATGGTCTTTTAAGTTCTCTAAGAGCACTCAAGTTTTATTCCCCCCTCCATGTTTTATGTATATGAGGTCATATTATGCCTCTTTTTGTGTATCCCTTGATTAGTTTTTATAAAAATAATTGATCTTACTACTTTTATTTTAACCTCCTTTCTAGGTTTATAAGTGATTGATCTACTATCTTAACTATATGTTTACTTTTTCTGTGAAATTTTCTCCTCTCATAATTTTCTTCCCCTGTAGCCTTTTCTTTCCATTTAGAGAATTTCCTTTAACATTTCTTGTAAAGCTAGTTTAGTGATGGTGAACTCCTTTAACTTTTGTTTATCCAGGACACTCTCTCTCCAATTCTGAGTGATAATCTTGCTGGATAGAGTATTCTTGGTTGCAGGGTTTTTGTTTTTTTGTTGTTGTTTTTTTTTCTTTCAGCACTTTGATTATGCCATTCACTTCTGGTCTCTAAAGTCCTGCTAAAAATGAGCTGATAGCCTTACGGGGTTTGCCATATATGTATGTAATTGTTTGCTTTTCTCTTGCTTTTGGGATTCTCTCTTTAATTTTTGTCATTTTAATTATGTGTCTTGGTGTGGACTTCCCTGGGTTCATCTTAAGTCTCTCCTTGCTTCTTGCACCTAGATGTCAGTTTCCTTCCCCAGGTTAAGGAAGTTTTCAGCTGTTATTTCTTCAAATAAGTTTTCTGTCCCCCTTCTCTTATTTCCTTCTGGGATCCCTATAATGCAGATGTTCATACACTTGATATGTCACAGAGGTCCCCTAACCCGTTCTCGTTTTTTATTTTTTTTCACTGTTCAGCTTGGGTGTTTTCTATTACCCTGTCTTCCACATCACTGATTTGTTCTTTATCCTCTAATCTACTGATTTCCTCTAACACATTTTTTATTTTATTATATTCTTTATCTCTGACTAGTTTTTTCTCAGTTCATCCACTCTTCTTTGAAGTCTGGTGAGTATCTTTCTGACCATTACCTTGAACTCTATCAGGCATTTGCTTAGCTCTTTTTCTGTGGTTTTTCCTTCTTTCATTTGGGACATACTCCTGTGTCTCCTCATTTTGTGTTTCTATAAATTAGGTAGGTCAGCTGCTTCTCCTGCTCTTGAAAGTAGTGGCCTTGTGTGGAAGGCATCCTGTGGTTTCCTGCAACACAGTCCTCCCTAGTCACCAGAACCTGTTGAGGTTGAGCCATGATGGATGCTGGCATGCTGGTGGATGATGCTAGCCCTCTGCCCCACTGGCTACAATGATCATCCTGTCGTGTTAAGGGGACAGTTGTGGGCAGGGCTTGTCTGCTGCACAGCTGGCTAATAAGCCCTAGTAGTCTCTATGTGCTCAGCCTGTCTGCAATGGTCCGCTTTGCCTGCTCTGGGCTCACTGGTGAGCAGGACTTGTTTCCTGTTTGGCTGGCTGTGAGACCTGGTTGCAGCACCTGTGGGTTTGCTGGTAGGCAGGGCTGGCCGTTAGCCCAGGTGTCTGGAATGAGCCTCTGTGACTGCTGCAGACACTGAGGGTAGGGCTTGCTCCATCTATAGGCAGCTGAGAAGCACAGCTATAGCAATTGCACATGCACTGGTGTGTGGGGTTAGCTCCCCCCTCCCCAGGGCAGGAGGTGCTGTGGAGGGGTGCCTACCACGGTGGGCAGGTTGGACAGGGCAGGGCACACAGTTAAAGCAAGGTAGGGGGAGAATGTCAGAACTGGCTTCTCCAAGTGTCTGGCTATCTAGGCTGGGAGAGAGCAAGAAAAAGGGCACCTACCAGCACTTTTCGTGCCTAGAGAAAGCTCCTGTATTTCCTGTAGATTCCTGCCCCTCCTGTACACATCCTAAAACTAGTCAATAAATCTCCCACACATATACCCCAGGCACTTTTCAAACTGTTCCTTCTGTGCTCTGTCTCGGGCCAAGTTATGTAATGTGTTGGCTTTTAAAGGGTGAGGACTTGGTTTCCTAAGCCCTCCAGCTCTCCTGGAGTTAAGCCACACTGATTTTCAAAGCCAGACATTATGGAGACTGGGTCTTCCCAGTGCAAGTCCCCAGGGCCAGGGGTGTCCATTGTGGGGTCGCTCCTCCCTGCCTGTGATGTCCCCCACCTTTGTTGAGTAGTCACTTCAGGAGTTTCATTCCCGATGCATCTGTCCCTCCTACCCTTTTTGATGTCACCTTGTGTCTACACCTAGCTGTGGAAGATCTGTTCTGCCACTCTTCAGGTGGTTTTCAGAATGAGTTGCAGTACATGTAGCTGTTGCCTCCATATGTCCGTGGGGGAGGTGAATTCAGGGTTCTCCTACTCTGCCATCTTCCCTCTCCTGTAAAATTTCTTTTAAAAAATACTACTGTTTTTTCCACAATGGATAGTTATACAAAGTCATTTTAATATAGTCATTTCCAAATATATGAGGTAAAACATTCTAAGAAAAATTTAATAGGCAATAAAATATTAACATAAGACAAATATGTGAAAATTATTTTAGAGCTTGTTTTTCATAGATGTTCACCTACTGGTACAAGAGTAAAACCTGCGTTAGGTGAGTTCGTGCAAGCTTCTTCATAAGTTGGTCTCCAGTAATAATGCTTTTTAAGGCCATTGGAGACTTCTGCAAGATACACATGTCCATCCACCATAAATGGCTCCACATCTGTATTATCTGGTTTTAGACGGTCCATTTGAATTAAGTCTGAATAAGCCTATGATTTTTAAGAAAAGAAGAACCTATCATTAAGAAAATTGTTTAATTACCACAAAAATGAATAAGCTAATTTCAGTATTCAGATTAGCTGTGATTTTTAGTTTAAAATATTCTGAGTAAATTACTGAATTTTAGTATTTTTTACATATGATTTTTGTTCACCTAATATCACATAATGAAATTATAATCTTGAAAAAATTATTTCTAAGTTTTAAGGTATTTTGTTCTATGGCTCCTAGAATTAACAGTTCTCTGTATTACAGATTTTGTGGGCCAAAGGTCCCATGGTCAAAATTTTCAAGTCCTACAGGGGTTCTTAGGGAGGAGGGAGTTGTATATGCCTTGAAAATCTGATGGTAGCCAGGGACCCATTTCTCAGAAAAATAAGCAACCAAATTTTGGCATACAACTGTATGGAGTTCATGAACTCCCTGAAGCTAATTTATAGACTGAGGTTTAGACAATTCCTGTAGTATTAGATGCTGGCCTGGCAGTAGCCTAATTCCGTCTTCACTGTAGAATTTTCTTTGTATATCTCTTGGGTCATTGGTATCTTTGTAAGGGTGTCATACAAACATGTTAAAATGGTTGGTCAATAAGGTTGTGAGTATAGAGAAAGGCAGATATTTAGACAATAAAAGATTTAAAATTTTAGTTGCTTTCTACTTTAGCTTATTATTCCAAACTAATTCTACTGTGTAGAATATGATCTTTTTCTGAAATCAAGAGTTTAAATAGTATATTTTATTACTCTTTTTAGAGGGGGAATTTTGGATAGTCTTTTTGCAAAAAAGCATCTTCATTCTTTCCAAATAAAAACTATTTGTTACAATGCCTTTTGTTTTGAAAGTCGTATCAAGGGCTCTATTTACATAAGCAACATAAAAGCACTGTATGTCTCCAAATTCCATGTCTTGGTTTAATTATTGGGCAGCAGACGAGATTGTGTTACATCAAATTTAGAATAAATCAACAGTTGTGACTTTTAAAATGTTTTAACTTTGGAGGAATTGGGACTGTATAATTCAGTGATCTCTGTATTAATATGTAGTGTTTGATATCTTCTATTTCAACCACAAAACTTTCTAGTGCTTAATTTTTAGGACTTATGTTAAAATTTATCAAAACTTAAGTGTCTTACTACATTTTGGAATCATTTCCAAGGCCACCTGTAAATGCCTGATATTATAGAGAAGACCCCAGAAAGCCTTTAGTGAAGATTAAAAAAACCAAACAACTCACCACACATGTAGCCTCATCAAATTTGTTTCCCCAAATGTAGACATTCGAGAATGTGGGGTTTGTTTTCATTGACTCTGAAAGTGCAACAAGTCCTTCTCCCTCTATGTTGTTGCTGACTACTGACAACCTATGAGAAACAAGAATAACCCTGAAAACCGAAACATACTTCCACAAAGATGATGCATAAGTTAGCCAACAACATTTATTACATTTTATTGTGTAAAATCTTAGGAATTATATTAAAGATACTTAAGAATAATGCTAACTAAAATCCAAGAAACTTCATTTTCTAAGTGGATGCTTCATGTATCCAGTATAGTTAACTACATTTTAGAAACCAACAGCCTGTTTTATATCATTCAGTAAATGTTTTGGGTGGATTACAAATACACCCTTCAGGATAAAATCATCCAATAATACTTTGATTATTTTTTGTCTTGATCATATTATGATTTTTCTATAGAATTCAGGATAAATACCGTAGGCAGTAAGAATTTTCCCAATCTTAAGCAATCACAACCAGAATCAGTCTAATTTTAATAGACATTACTTTTGAAAAAGAAACTGAAATGTTTAATGTCAGTTTAGAAACTTCTCATTTCATCATGAATCTTGAGTTTTAAGGGGCTTGAGGCTAGTATTTTAAAAGTTTTTCTCTTATTTTGATTAAATATAAAACCATACTAACGCTCTTAGACTCCTGTTGTGTGAAGCAAGAGTTTCACTGAGATACTTTGCTCCTGCATTTTCTATTCTGTTAAAAGAAAGATCTAATACTTCCAGGGTAGTATTACTTTTCAGTACATCAGCCAAACACACCATTCCGTCGCGAGTTATTTTATTGCTGGGAAGGGAAAAATACATGGTTACATTTGAAAATACGAAGTATTCTTTTATTCACAGAGATTAACATGCTTCAAAACTGTTGTAGAGAACATTACTTTCTAGTTCAGTGAAGATTTTAATCACTCAGTTTCCAAAAAAGTTAATCTAAATTTGCCATAAAATGTTTCCAGTCTGGTTTACTCATGATTAAATTGCTCATTCACATTGTTAGGAGATAAAATAGCATATAAACTAAATACTAAGGCTTAGGACAAAAAGTTGACAACAGTGGTTACATTTTCTGAGCTAACAGTGTATCCTGTGTACTGTGAATATTTACATAGATTATTCCCAGGACTTCTGGATTAATGTATTATCACTTACCAGCTGACATCAAGGTAGCGTAGGCTTCTGTTCAGATACAGTGCATCACATAACTGTTTAATACCACAGTTCTTTATATTATGCTTACACATGTGTAGTTCAACAAGGCAGTGATTTTCTTTCAACATGTGGCCTAGATGAACTGTGGACTCTTCCTAAAAACAGGTGAAATCTTTTTCTAAAATACAGTTTGGAAGCTGTACATGTTTATTCCAAATATATGCTAAGTTACTTAAATTAGCTTTTTAAAAAGATATCAGTTAAGACTATTAGCCTATAGTTTGTATTTGTTTTGGCTTGGCTTTTAAGAAAAATCACTTTTGACACAAATGATACTTCATCATTTTAAAAACCGGCAGCAGGACCTTGGAAAGTACAGTGACTAAGTGATGTAAAAGAGGCTGGTTTTAAAAAAGTCAATTCTAAACAACACTCCAGAAGGGGAGGAAAAAAAAAAACTTGGCCCCATGACGTATTGCGCATATTAAGCTTTATTGTTGTCCTCTCAAGAATCTCTAAATGTTTCTTATACCCTCCATATGTTCCTGAACTTTTCTCTTGATCTCTACTCTTTATAGATAAAATACAAAGCCATTTCTCAATGTTGATTCTGTTTTAAAAATATACTCATTAGTCCTGTGATATCCAATTCTTCCCTTTTATAATCCCAAATTTCTAAATATGTTTTACTGTTCTAGTCACTGGAAGACTTACTTTTAATTCCAAACTCCAGCTGCTTCCAGGCAAAAAATATATAACCTCAATGAGGATTTGAGTACCAAGCACTTTAAGTTTTTAACAAAGTCAAACCAGGTCTTAAAATGAATGGGTCAGTATTTTATGGTAAGGAGAAGTCCTCTTACTTGATTGCTGCATTTTTTTTCTTTTTAAAGTAAGCTCCATGCCTAGCATGGAGCCCAGTGCAGGGCTTGAACTGAGATCAAGACCTGAGCTGAGATCAAGGGTATGATGCTTAACTGACCGAGCCACCCAGGTTCCCCAAGATTGCTCTTTTTATAAGTTTTATAGTCACTGGAAATGCTGATCACGACCATGAATAACTATGTATGCTCAAATTATGTACTTCTACATAATAACTCTGAGAAAAACTACAAAAGTTAAATGAAACCACATAGCAGTAGCAGATAGTACATGAGTTTTATAATAAAAGTATGAGCTTTGTCCAAATACTAGCTTTATACTAGCTGTCTGACTTTGGGCAAATTATTTCATCTAGCTAAGTCTCAGTTTCCTTTTCTGTAAGACAGATAAAATTATACTTCCCTCACAAGTAACAGAAAAGTACCTGGCATAAAATAACTGTTAGGTAGAACACTAGAAAGCATTTTTTATTGTTCAGTAGTCTGTAATCCTATATCTGATTTGTTTAAATTATTGCTGGCACTGACAAAGACCCAAAGGGAAGCTATAGTTGGGATCGTAACAAATGTAAACTGGCCACGTAGGGGTCCAGTATTGCTCTGCGTGGTGCCTGGACAGAGCACAGGATACATACTTGTGTCTTATGCTTTGACTGCCTTTTTTTTTTTTTTTTTTTAGGTCAAGAAGTTTGGTTAAGGGACTACCCTTATTAGGGAAGGGAACTAAAATCAGAAATAGAAGTGTTTTTAGATCCATTTACCAACTTTGACAATTTGCCCAGGATGGCACCTGGCATCCACATCTTTCCATGCTCCCCAGATAGTGAAACGGAAGAGAGGTCTGCAGGGCTTATGTTTGGGAACAGCAAAGTGTGAAGAAGCACAGGAGGGCTCTACTCCACATCCACTGAGGAGACTAGGACTCACAGGGACAGGGGGTAGTGGCTGCCTTGGAGAGGAACAGAAAGCAGGCTGGAGTTTAGCTGACTGCTAGAAGCACCAGGCTAAGAGCAAGGGCCTGGACCTAAGACCTTGGGCTTTTCTTAACTCTTCTCTGATTTGGGAATAATGACACCACTTGACACAAAGAGGAATCATTGGGGCGCCTGGGTGGCTCAGTCGTTAAGTGTCTGCCTTCAGCTCAGGTCAGTCCTGGGATCAAGCCCCACATCGGGGAAGCCGGCTTCTCCCTTTCTCACTCCCCCTACTGTGTTCCCTCGCTCGCTGTGTCTCTCTGTCAAATAAATCTTAAAAAAAAATCGTGCTTCTAGTGTGATTTCATATAGTTTAACAGACTTATTTCCTCAAGGTCTAATCCAGAAAATTCTGATTTAGCCTTGAAATCTCATGTCCTCAATCTGAAAACCTGCTCTGCCACTTCTGTTAAAGAGCAAAGAGAAGCCTCGAAAGCAGCTACAATGTTTTTACTCATCATCTTGTCTCCGGCATGCAGCTTACCTATAGGATCAAGTCCACACTTCCCAGGCTGCTCTTCACACGTATTTGGCCACTGTTACTCATGATTTCAAAGCGGTTTAGTGATATCAATATAACAAACAACAAAACAATTCACACTGAGCTCTTATCCAACCTTTAAAACTTTTAATCACTGTTCTTGTCTTAACTACTCTGCCTCTTTACAGGTTTACTCACTGTTAGATAATCTGAGTTTACAAGAAAAAAAAGAGACATTTACTGCTTAAACATCTAAAATCATTATTTAACTCAATTTTTCTTCAAACAAGTTTTTCTTCGTAAATGCAGTAAATTCTAAAAATATGAATGAACCTTGACATAAACTTCAGTAAAGAGTACCTTCATTTCATTCACATGTAGTAATATTAGCTGTCATCACTTTGAATACATACCTGTTCACCATACAGTATAGGTCGGTTTAGGTTTATTCCCTTAATTGTTTGGTTTTGAGTTAGGACTGTAGCCAATGCTATCACACTTTGCATTCCCTAGAAACAGTAAATTCATTAAGGAAACTGACGAAGTATATAACCTCCCTATTTCAAAATTAGTAATCTGGATTCCTAGAAATAAATTGTATTTTAAATTGTAAACCCTGAATTATAGTTTGGTCAAATTCAGAAATGAATTGTTACTATGTTCTTTTCTCCCTGCCCTAAAATCTTTAACATGCACGGGGAGTTCTTAAAGTTTTGGCATCCATTTCCTAGGACATTCACCTCCAGGTTTGCTTCTAAGTCTTCAAGGTTCTATGTGTTTCCGACTTCAGATACCCAGACACAGATGCAGATCCCAGCTAGGGTTCTACACTACTTAGAACAGACCTTGTGCAAGCATTCTTTTATATGCATACTCACAGTGTCTGTGCAGTGGGAAAGGTTTACTAATCACGTTTTTCATAGCTTCCACAGGATTCCCTCTTTATGTTATTGGAAGGGCCTAATTCTCCAATTTCTGTGATGGACACCACCACACACCCCTAGCTGTTATGCCAGAAAATCTGGGCCTCCTCTCCGCCAGTCTACTCACCCTCCCATCCAATTAGTAAGTCTTAGAGATTCTGTCTCCAAAAGAGGTCTCAAATTAACACATCTGTGTGCCACCACCCCACCCCCAGTCCTTACTGCCCGCCTGGACTATAGTAACTTCCTAAGTGGACAGTGAGCTTCCTCTCGCCACCCTCTAATTCCCCACAGAAACCACAGTGATCTTTTTAAAGGACAAATCATGTCACCCCTCAAAGCCTTATCATGATATGTATAACACAATCCCCTCTTCCCCTGGCCTGTGACCCACAACCCATACAACGTTGCTGGATCTGGCCTCTGCACACCTCTCACCTTCACTTGAGATACTCTTAACTCCTTCTGTCTAGCCACTCTAGCTTTTCAGTTCTTAAAACCTGCCAGACTCAACATTTCATTATTCATGTGCCACTCAGGATTTTTGCCATTTTGGAATCTCAGTTTTACTGTTTACTTAATAGTGCTCTATTAAATCAACTCACTTTTTCCACTTTATTTTAAAGCTCTATCACTACCATAAATGGAAAACTGTTATTCCTCAAAATAGAGCATTTGTAAAAATAAATACATGAGTAGTAAAATTACCTCAATCTATAATAGCAATGCTACCCATATCACACTTGGGGTAACACTATCTTTTAGAGTCTTTGTGTGCTGGACCCCTGCCTGGAATGTTCTGCCATGGACCCTCTCCAAGGCAGTTTTTTTCTCACCCTTCGTGACTCAAGTATTACCTCCTCAGATATTAGGCAACTGCCCTATCATGCAGATTACCTCCTACCAGAGTACCTGGCCATCTTGGTAGCACTTTTCTCTTTATTGATGTTTTCCCAACTAGAATATAGGCTTTCTAATGAAGTAGCATTTTTTTTAATTAAAAAACAATTTCTCAAAAAGTCCCATATAGGTTAAGAAGGGTTATAGATAGAAGCTTAGGAAGAATTTTATTCTAGGTATTCCTCTACAGTATTATTTAGAACAATCTGATTAATAGCACTATTATGCCTAATAGTAAAAACAAAAAAAACCTTTTTCTCTGATATTAGATATTAGGGGCAAGCTTCATAAGACTGTCATTTAGCTGGTCTCTTTAACAATTCCCTATCCTGGTTTCCAAGGAGAATGATGTAGTACCTAGGTGATTTTTCTCAACCATTTTACTCACCAGATCACAGTCACCCAGATCTAATTTTTCTAAAGATGAATTAATTTGTAGCATTGCAGCAAAAAACATTCCGCCTTTATTTTCAATCTTGTTTCCAGTCATTCTTAGGTATTTCAGAGTTGTATTCTTCTGAAAAGGAAAAGAATCAAAACTCCATTAAATTTTTATTCCATAGAATTCTCTTTGGTATACATGAGTTAGGAGACTTACTATTTGCAGACTCCTCAATTTTTCAAGGTTTCATGGAGATAGAATAAGATATACTCCTTAAAGGTAACATTCAGTTTCCCAATAAGAGATAAGAAATCTAGTTTTTTACTGGGAAGAATGGCCAGGAAACAGATGTCCAAACAATGCCCAGTAAATGAAGCAGATTTTTAATAAATTTTCCTTTAATTGGGAAACCTATAAATTTGTTTTCTAAGAAAATTATACCACTTTTTTTTATTGAGGTGAAATTCATATAACCCAAAGTTAACTATTTTAAAGTATACAATTCACTGGTTCTTAATAAATTCACAATGTTATATGGTCATCACCTAGGTGGTTTCAAAATACTTCACCCCCCCTACTCCCCACAAAGGAGGCCCTGCACCCATTAAGCAATCACTCCGTATTCTCCCTGTATCACTTTTAAAGGAATATAATTCCTCAGACATTTGCAAAATTTAACTCCTCTCATTCCACTCTTAATAATTCTTTCACAAAGAAAAATCAGACATTTCAGTGTCCTAATGAATATTAGAGGATATATAACTGCAAATAGTTATTAATTGAAACCCCTTAAGAGCAGGAAGAAGGCAAGGATGTCTACTGTTTGTTTTTTTAAAGATTTTATTTATTTTACAGAGAGAACAAGCAGGGGGAGCAGCAGAGGGAGAGGGAGAAGCAGGCTCCCCACTGAGCAGGAAACCTGATGTGGGGCTCGATCCCAGGAACCTGGGATCATTACCTGAGCCAAAGGCAGACGTTTAACACACTGAGCCACCGAATAGGATGTCTACTGTTAATACTTCAAGTGTACTGGAGGTTCTAGATGAGGCAATTAGGCAAGGAAAAGAAAAAAAAAAAGGCATCCACATTGGAAAAGAAAACTATCTGTCTGCATATAACATGATCTTATATATGGAAAATCCTAAGGAATCCACCCAAAAAAAGCTGTTAGAACTAGTGAGTTCAGCAAGACCGCAGGATGTAACATCAATATATAAAAATCAGTTGTGTTTCTGCACACTAGCAATGAACAATGCAAGATTGAAATTAAGACTATCCCATTTACAATAGCATCAAAAGGAATAAAGCATTAGGAATAAATTTAGCAAAAGCAAGACTTGCACATTAAAAACAAAGCACTGTTGAAGGAAATAAAGATATAAATAATGGAAACACATCCCACGTTCATGGATCAGAAGACAATACTGTTAGGATGGCAGTACTCCCCAAATTAAGACTTAAAGCAATTCCTCTCAAAATCCTTGTTTTTCTTGCAGAAATTGATAAACTGATCTTAAAATTTATATGGAAATGCAAGGGACCCTGAAGATCCACCACATCTTGAAACAAGAACAAAAAGGACTCACTTCTTGACTTCGAAACTGACCACAAACTACAGTAATCAAGGTAGTGTGGGACTGACATAAGGATAGACATACAGGTTAACGGAGTAGAATGAGGAGTAGAGAAATAAACCATTTGTAATGGATTTTTGACAAGGGCATCAAAATTAATGGGGGAGGAATAGTCTTAAATAGTGTTGGGACAACTGGATATCCACATGCAAAAGAATGAAGTTAGACTCCTTCCTCACATCATATACAAAAATTAAAATGGATCAAAGAACTAAAAGGAGCTAAAACAAAAACGGTTAGAAGAATATGCAAGTGTCAATCTTCATAACTTCGAGTTAGGCAAGATAGACCTTAGATATAACACCAAAAGCACAAACAAAAGAAAAACTAAGTTGAGCTTTATCAAAATTAATTTTGTGCTTCAAAGGACACCATTAAGGAAGTGAAAAGGCAACCTACAGAATGAGAGAAAACATTTGCAAATCATGTATAAGGGACTTACATCCAGAACATACGAAAACTCCTAGAACTTAAAAAGACAACTAGACATGGGCATCGAACAGGCATTTTTTCCAAAGAATGGCACATGAAAAGATGCTCAGCACCATTATCATGATGGAAATGCAAACCAAAACCAAAAAACCTCTGCATATCCACTAGGTTGGCTAAAATCAAGAGGACAGTAACAAGTGCTAGCTGTGGAGAAGATGGACCTGGATGTGCTGGATGTATCTTAATAAAGCTTTTTTTAAAGGAGTTCAAAAGTGCTCATGTTACATTTTAATAAATTGAAGTGTAATAAAAGTACACATTTGCACAATAATGAGTTCATAACATTTCATTCTGTTAATTACAAGCCATCGAAAGTTAAAATTCCCAAAGAAAATGTTAGTTTGAGGTATATAAATGCTTACATGTAGTGCTTTAGCAATCAGTTCTCCACCTTCGGGCCCAATATCATTAAACATAAGGTTTAAGTAAACGAGGTTATGTTGTTTCTATAATAAGGAGAGGAAAGAAGCTATTACATATATAATTGTTAGGAAAAAAATAATATAGGAGCTGCTTTAAGTAAAAGTATTTACCTCCAAAGAAAATCTTTGTAACAGAAAATCTGAAAGTCCAGCAAAAGAAGCTACCATTAAGGTGTATGTGTGGAGGGGGAGGGAATCACCATGCTCATTTAAACATAATTGCAATATAAATGAAAGAGACTATATTCTATTTTGATCAATCATTCAAAGTATGAATGTCCTTTATTTAACCATAGTGTACAAGTTTGCAAAAGAGGACTCAGGAGCTCTAGGTACCAGCAATCTACCGATAACAAAAACACACGTGGGTTTTCCACTTATTTCAAGTGTTATAAATATAGTGCAAGGTCAGGATCCTGGACATTTTACAAAACTAGCATTTTGTGTGCGTGTGCCACTAGAGTAGGTGGTTTCACCACAAACAGAACTAAGAAAACTCAAGAACATTTTGATTATTTTTGCAGCATTTTTGTAATTGCTGAGAATTAGCTCATATTTTTCAATCTTTACTCTGTCCTGTGCTGTGTGCCATCGCATGGATATGAGAATTTTAGGATCATTTTAAAGCTCACTGGAAGCACATTTAGCAATTGAGATTGGGACAAGTAGTTAGGAACTTAAGAAACCAATTTAAGAGAGGTATCAAAAAATGATATATGCTGCTTTAAACATTTTAACTGAAAATACAGACATATACCCATATTTGCCAATCTTTTGACGCTGAAACAAAGCCTTTTCTTAAAGTACACCTACTCTGATTGGTAGACCACACTGTCTTTTGTTTTTGTTTTTGTTTTTTTGACCCCCCCGTCTGTCTTAAATAAAATGAACCGCATTGCAGCATGGGCATCGCCAAAGTGAAGGCTGCAATAAAGGGTTAACTTAGCAGGCTTGGGATGCTCGAACCCTGTACATTCCAAAGAAAAAGGACTGCTTCTTCACTGACTCCTGGAAGAAAACATAACGAACTAAGAACATTTTGTAGTAAAATACCTGAAGCAGTCTTGCAGCATAGTATGCACCAACGTCACTTACGAAGTTATATCTAACATCCAAACCTGAAGAACACAGATGAATACAGGCTGATGTTCCTTATACGGAATAATTAAAATCAGGAAAATGAAAGCAAGAGGTAATGATTGTTAAGGAGACATATACCATTAATATATGGATTCTTCTTTAAAATTCTTAAAAGAATCCAAAAATCTTCACCTGTTACTTTTTCTTCTGGCATTAAGCAACTGTTACCAGCAATGTTTAATGTGATTCCTTCCGATCTATTAAGATACAAAAAAGAAACCCACTAAAGAAATAGAAGTATTTTTTCCTCCTATAGAAATAGTAACATCATGAATAGCATTTACTGAAACCAAGTATGTATCACAATACAGATTCACACTAAGTAACTTAAGACAACTGAATACTCTATAGAATACGCTATAGACTGAATACTCTATAGTAAACACTTTTATACTATATAATTTTTCTTTCACACACACACACACACACAAAACAATGTATCGGGATGCCTGGGTGACTCAGTAGGTTGAACGTCTGCCTTCTGCTGGGATTGGGTCCCACATCCGGCTCCTTGCTCAGCCAGCAGGGAGCTGCTGCTTCCCCTGCTTGTGTGCTCCCTCTCTCTCTGACAAATAAATAAATGGAATCTTAAAAAAAAAAAAAAGTATCTCCACCTGATAGATAAATGATATCAAAGACTTCAATGTTTTTCATAAATCAATCCAGCTCACAGGAGTTCAGGACAAATGTGAAGGCTAGACTCGGAGATGGCTGGTCTAGTGCTCTTCCCCACGTACTCCACTACCTCCAAGACCAGCTAACAGTGTCCATCAGCCACTGTCCTAAATCAAAAGGTAGGTCTGTTTTATTTTTTATTTATTTTTTATTTTTATTTTTTTAAAGATTTTATTTATTTATTTGAGAGACAGAGAGAATGAGAGAGAAAGCACATGTGATGGGGGGAGGGTCAGAGGGAGAAGCAGACTCCCTGCTGAGCAGGGAGCCCGATGCGGGACTCGATCCAGGGACTCCAGGATCATGACCTGAGCCGAAAGCAGTCGCTTAACCAACTGAGCCACCCAGGCGCCCAAGGTAGGTCTGTTTTAAAAAGCATGTGCAAATGGCTTTAAACAAATCACTCAGTATTCCAGGATTTTCACAGGATGTCAGTGAATATTACTTATGTAGTCAAGTTAAGTGTCTTCCTTACCCCTTTTCAATTTCTTCATCCACTTCTTGGAGTATATGCAATATAAAGGAATTAATTTTCTGGGACTTTTCCATACAGAGATTATAATAATTTTCCTGGAGATGGCCAATAACTTCTGGAGCTTTTGAAAAATAAGTGCATTACTCTTCATCACATACAAATTATACCAGGACCTTTCCTGTTCCCCTCCATCCCCTCCCCCAAAACACACTTCTTTCAAAGATACGAATGTGTGTGTGCATAGAGTCAGGGGTGAGGAAGAAAAGGCAACAGAATTAAGAATAGAGAAAGAAGAGGGAAATAGTAGGAACTGGGGGGAATAAGAATGCTGTTTGGAGAAGCAGGGCCATAGAAGCACCCACCGAGGGTAGGCAGACACTAACATGGAAGTGACATACGGGGAGAACTAACAGAGGTAGCAGAGTAAAAGGATATTCAGAGACATTATTTTGTCCCAAATCATACAGCTAATAAGGACAGAGTATAGAAACAGACTCCAAAGCCTCTTTCCACTCCGCCACATCAGGTCAGGGGGACTCACGTTTTCTTATCATGACTTCAAATAAAGGCAATTTTAATCAGAGAATCTACACTCTAAAAGGATCTGAAAAATCCCCAAGTCTCAGAGGCTCCTTGGATACCCTCACATAAGTTGATGGCATCTTTGGCTACAGCTCTGTCGGTTCCTCCTAACACGGAGTTGAGGCCTGACTCAGAGAAGCTCTTCACCGACCCCGGCCTTCCATTTCCTCTTTCTAAAGGTTGATTTTTCTCTGTTCAGTCCTTAATAAAGAAGACGGAAACAAAGCAGGAGTTGAAATCTCCTTCCTCTGTTATGCCTGCATCTTTCCTTAATGGTCTTACTGTCTTTGATACTAACTTAAAAGGATCTTTTGCAAGACCCAAGCCTTCTGGGGGTGGGAATGATGTCCCTCTTCTTAGAAGCACATACCACTATCTTTGTTTTCTATCCTGTCTTTTCTATGGGTCTCTTAAAAAAAAAAAAAAAAAAAAAGTGTACTCAGAGATCTCACTATTCAACCAGCCTGGTATCTTCAGGAGCCAGCCTAAGTCTCTGCATCTCGAGATGTTCTTTTTTTTTTTTTATAAGGTTTCTTTTTTTAAGATTTTATTTATTTATTTGAGAGAGTGAGAGAGGGAGAGAGAGAGCACATGGGGGGGAGGGTCAGTGGGAGAAGCAGACTCCCTGCTGAGCAGGGAGCCCAATGTGGGACCTGATCCTGGGACTCTGGAATCATGACCTGAGCCGAAGGCAGTCGCCTAACCAACTGAGCCACCCAGGCGCCCTCAAGAGATGTTCTTTGCTGAGATTTCTGCACTGTATGAACTCAAAGAGTTTGCTAAACAAACTTGCAGAACAAGATTTAAAATGAGGACTATTACATTAAAAATGAGAGCAGTAAATTTTTAATAGTTTTTTTAAATAAGCTTTTAAAAAAAATTAGCCCACTTATTCCAGACAACTTGGAAATTTCAATATCAAAAAGAAGTAAATATTTATCAGCAATCCCACTGCTAAAGAACCATTATAATTAAGGTCTGTGGGTATTTCCTCCTTATTGTTTTTCTCATCTATGTACATATTAGCCTTTTTTTTTTAAAAAATGGAATATTTCAGTACAGTCCTATATCTTTTCAGTTAACATGGTGAGCTTTCCCATGTCGGTCTCTGAAAAATTTTAATGTCAACAGAATTTCCTGTCTTATGGGTGGATGTACATAAAAAAACTCTTCACTTATTTTAGGAAGTTTCCATGAATTTATATAACACTTTAGCACAATATTTCCCAAACTGTGTTCCTCAGAATACTAATCTTCCAGAATATGATCAAAGATGTTCTAAATAGAATAGATTTTATTGTCAAATAAGTTTGGGAAGTGCTGAATTAAAGCGAAGCAGACCTCTATAATACTTCTCAGGACATTTACAACACTCAGGTGCACAAAGACTCTTCAAACTGTTGAGCCTGGAGAAAAGGGAGAAAAAAAATACTCCATTTCCCAGACTTATGTGACCATGGTTCACATGGAATTCAAACTACACAATGCTACTTTAGCATTCTTCACAGCAAACACAGTAAATAGATCTCTAACAAATTTACTTGTTGGAGGTGGGCTCCCACTGGGCTTCTTTCCTCCCTTCTAGCATACTACCTTCCTTGCTATTAAAAAGAGAAGACTGGCCTGAGAATCTGAGGTTCAGTGCCTGCCCTCAGCTGGCGGCACCAACCCAACACATGCAGAAGAAATGTGTCAGAACTCATGTTTCTCTGAAGGAAGGAATCTTAGATTACAACTTAAATATAGCTAAAGAAAGTTACAAGAAAATTCTTGGGGTGCCTGGGTGGCTCAGTCAGTTAAGCATCTGTCTTCAGCTCAGGTCATGATCCTGGGGTCCTGGGATTGAGTCCCCCATCGGGTTTTTTGCTCAGTGGGGAGTCTGCTTCTCCCTCTGCCTCTCTCCCCAGCTTGTGCTCTCCCTCTCTCAAATAAATAAAATCTTAAAAAAAAAAATTCTTATTACCTGACCATGGATTTAAAGTATTTAAAAGTTTCTGCTATATTTTTCTGCTATGCTCTCTTTCATTTAAAATTCACCTAAGTGTTGTGTGTCAGGATTTTATGGCACCAATAATTTATTTCCTGTATTCATATTAGGGGAAAATAATAAATCCGTCTTCAAATTGTAAAGCTTAAACTAGGACTAACCAGTTACACAATATCAAGACTCTAACTCAAATGTCATTTTTCATCCATGCCAAAGTCTTGTATTCCAAATATTTTTCACCTGGCAGCACTTGTTAGAATTTCTAAAGAAAGGGCTCATGTCGGAGGTGTCCCCTATCCCTTCTATACAGGAACAGCCAAGTAGCAGGAAATCCAAGGGTTAGGAGTGAGTCAGACTGGGCTACCTACCCAGGATCACCTGTGTACCTTTGTACAAGTTACCTTAATTCTCCCATCTTAAATTTCCTCTTACGCTAAAAGCAGAGCACAGTGCCCATCTCAAGGATGCGGTGAGGAATATGTAAGGCTTCTAGCACAGTTCCCTATCTACAAGCACACACTTTATAACACAAGCATCCAAAATGGAATCGGTGGCAGGAGGAGGGGCGTGCAAGCTGCGATTAATTTGCTAGAGATAATTCAAGGTTGCAGAAATACTTAAAACGGAGGTGGCATAGAGAGGCAAAGTCAGAGCTCTCTCAAGACCCTCTTGCCCACCTCGGCCCTTCCTTCTGGAGCTTCCACAAAAAAGAGCCCTAGAAGAGCACCTAGACACCCTTCCCGGAGACCGTAGGAGCAGAGCAACAGACAACGCCCTCCTCCAGGACAAGGGCTCATGTGAAGGGCAGACCCACCAGGGGGACTTGGGGCTCCCTTCCCGCCCACATTTGGGGGGCCCCCAGAGTTCTGGCCAAAGCTGGGGTTCCCAGGGGCACCCTCCTGCCGCACCGCCTCGAGCCGGCAGCCTGCTCGGAGGAATGGGCTGGCGCGAGCAACCCTGCAGCTGGGGCCGAAGCCCCTCGTGCGCTTCCGGTGGGCCAGGCAGGCGCCAAAGGACACCCTAGTTCTTACCACTACCGTCGGCCAGGGCCCAGGACGGATTAGGGGTCGTAGTGGGAGCGGGAGGGGGGAACCGGGGCCCGGCGCGGGCGGCCTCCTTCCTGCTGCCACACATGTTCCTTTTCACTCCGAGGCCGCCGCGCAGGCGTTGTCATGACGACGGGGCGCATGCGCCTGCCCAGTCCCAGGCCACCCGCCTGCCGCGTCTGGGCTCGGATGACCGCCAGACCCTGAGCGCCACCTCCAGCCAGCTGCGCATTCCCTGCCATTACCCACTTAGGCTCTGAAGCCTGACTGGGCAGGCGGTGATTGCCAATGCTATGGAAGTTCCTTGGCCACTCCCTCTGGCTCCGGATCACCCAGACCTGGGTGAAAAACACAGAGGGAGGGTGCTCCCGCTCTTCTGCAGAGGGAAGTTCTTGAGGTTTAGGGGGCACGGCTGATGGGCTAGGGGCCGGGGCTACAAAGACGATTATGACACAGTCTCCTCCCCAAAGTGTGTACACACCTGCGGGGGCCAAGTGCAGAAGCAGATAGTAGCACCAGCACGGATAAGGCACGGAGCTAAGGGAGCTTAAAGGGGTATGTAGATAGTCTTGTGGAGGGGCGGCGGTATCAGGGAGGACTTTCTGTAGTGGGTAACTTCCTGAGTGGTCCCGGTGAATCCACCCCAGGGCGGAACTGCCCGGTGGGTGCTGGAGATGCGCAGGTACTTGGGGCCACCCAGATGAGTACGGGGCAGGGGGGGCGGTGGCAGGCAGGGTCGAACCCACGTGGAGCATCCCCTGAGCAGCACAGCTGTTATGGGACAAGGACGCTGGGAGCCCTCAGATAGGGAGCAGCTGGTGGAAGGTGGATTTGACAGGACCTAGAGGAGAAGAGTTCCGAAGCCCCTGCAGTAGCCCAGCTGAGAGAAGATCCAGCTGAGGCTGGACTTGGGGAAAGGAGGAGAAGGGGACAAAACCCAGCCATAGTTACAGGGCAACATGCTCAGGTAATTGGACGTGGGAGAGAGAAAAAGAGGAAGGAGGGAAGGAAAGGTCTTCTGTTTGGGGTTACCATAGACCACAGGGGAAGTAGTTGAAGGGCCCCTGTAGAGAGCTCTGGAGCCAACCAGAGACTCCTTGCCTGGGAGAAGGAAGGAAGACCCTCAAAGTGAAACCAGGACGTTTTTGAACACAGTTCAAAGGTGAAAAACAGAAACGTCCAGGACCTCTGTCCCTGAAGCTACCCCACTAGGCAATTCCAGAACAGCACTCCACTGCTAAGAAATTGTGCTAGGCAAGGCAGGGGTCTCTTCACACCCTGTGTAGCCCACAAATTTTAAGCATCACTTGAATTCTTTCAGATTAAATATGAATAGAAAATATTGTTTTCATTTACCCAAGTTCTACCAACAAAGCCGACAGGTAGCTTGAAATACCAAAGCATGCGTGTGGGCACAGTTCAGCATCTACCCTCCCAACCCCTTTCAGAGTATTTGGAGTAGAGGAAAGTAAAGAGAGGTTCAGGATTTATTAATTGCTGCTCTAGGGGAAGGGGGGATACTCTTCTAAGGGAGCAAGAAGTGCCAATCACTTTTGTTCTAGAGAGTGACTAAAAAACAGGTTCAGAACAGAATAAACAGAAAAGAGCTGCTTTTAACTAGACAAACACCACTTAAAGCACTGTTCTCCCTATCCACCTTAGCAAAAAACAAAACACAACAACCGTATTTGCATACAACTACAGCCTGCACGTCAAAATGCATATCAAGTAGGATGAAAAAAAAAAAAAAAAAAAAAAACCTGACCACATGTACAATTCATTTCCATCAGTACATTTTTCATTAATCCCATGATTTCCAGATGGAGGAGGGATGTAATTTTAAAAACCCTCCCCTTGAGAATCACTGACTGGGGGGGGAGGGGAGGGTGGTGGAGGAGACAGATGTTGCTGAGTTGGCTTCAAGGAGACTTAAGTGGATTCACTGGGTGCTTAGGTGTCAAGAACCCAGAGTGGAGGTCTAACTTGAATCTCAACTTTCTAGAAGTCAGAGCCAAAGAGAATATAGGAGGGTATGTAATCCCCATTCTTCAATAAAAAGCAGCATTTACATTTCTCTGGCACCTTATTGTAGGAAGGTTTAGTAGGTGTATCTTTATATAAGTAACTTAATAGACAGGTCTTTGACTATAGCTTTATAGAAAATCCAGAAATATTTTTCAAATGTTTCTTTTATTGTAACTATTTAAAAAGCCCAACAGCATGAGGTTTTATTAGGATATAATTATGATCCTCCTGTCTTGAGGAAACACAGATAATAAGGTCTAGGTAAGTTGTTTCTTGCTAACATGGAGATTGAACTCAGGATCTGCGAGAATTAATATTTAACACACCCATTAGCTATTTTTCCCCAACTACCAGAAGGCTCAACTGAGCTGCTAGCAAGTATCAGAACAGAGCAAATTCCTGGTTGAATTTTCTGACAAGTATCTGAAGTGCTGACTTCCGGTGTTGTTCATGCATATGTGCTGTTTAGGTACTAAATATGCAGGTGGAAAAATTAGTGTTATTAAAAAAACTGATTTGGCCCATGGATAAAAGAGTGAGTGGTCTGAAAAGTTTACATTTTTATTATCTGATGAGACAAGAAAGTATCGGTGATTAGTAATAGAAAAGCACCTCAAACCTTCTTATTCATTGTGCAAGACAATAATCTGAAAAACCACATTCTAAAAGAATAAAAGGTTTTGCCTAGGAATTACTAGATCTATAGTTTGGTGTTACACGTAGAGGAATAAAGGGTAGAAACATTTTTGAAAATGGGTAAAATGCCCGTCTGAGTCTATTTAAAGAAAACAAGTCCTGAGAAGCTATTTCAGATCAATTATTTGGTGACAGTGGGGATGGGGGCACACTGTGCAACATGGCTAACAATTCTGGGAAATGAATGTTTCTCTAAGACCTCTTTTACCTTTAGGTAACTGATCTGAGGTTTTCAAAAGGCCAGACCCACTGGACCCGTGCTTGGAAGACTCTCTACTCTACAAAACTTTCAGAGCTTGTTATCAGATTATAGACTTTTTTCCCTTCTATTTCTCTTAACATACCAAACATCTCCGTATCCCAGTACTAATTAGGAAGTTTCTACTTACAAAACACCTGACGCCAACGGCGTGGGTTTTCCAAACAAGCCAGTCTCCAGTTCTCTGCATACGCCAAGTAGGTGTCCTAAGGTTTGATTATGACACTACACACCCAGAGTTAGTGCAGACCCTACAGGTTGAGGGCTCAGTCCCACAAGGCTGCTTCCCACCTGAGATGCCACTCACGAGTCCCAAGTGGTCACCGGTACCAGTGGACTACAGATCAGGGGCGCCCACAGCTCTCTCCTGAAGTTCGATAATTTGCTTTAATGGTTTACAGAACTCAGAGAAACACTTTACTTACCATTACCGCTGTATTCTAAAAACTATGGTTCAGGAACAGCCACATGGAAGAGATACACGTGGGGAAGAGAGGGTACGAGGAGAGGGTGAAGAGCTTCCACGCCTTCTCCGGGCACATTAGCCTTACAGCACCTTGATGTGCTCACCAACCCAAAAGCTCCCCCAATCCTGTTGTTTAGGGTTTTTATAGAGGTTCCATTCCCAAGGCACGATTGATTAAATCACTGGCCATTGGTGATTAACTCAACCTCCAGCCCCTCTCCCAGTGACCCTTTCTTGAGGTTGTGGCTGGGGCTGAAATTTCCACCCCTCTAATCGCACGGATGGTTCCTCTGGCAAACAGCTGCCTCGTGAGGCTATCTGGGGGGCCTAAGGAGAGTGACCTCATTAGTATGGACTCAGGTGTGGTTGAATGGGGCTTATTATGAATAACAAAAGACACTCCTCTCCAACCCCCCAGAAAATATCAAAGGTTTTAGAAGCTCTTGTATCAGGAACTTGGGAACAAAGACCAAATATATATTTATTATTATATCACAACATCTTGCCTTTATTATTGGCTGAGCCCTTTAGATTCTCCCTTGCCCCTGCCAAATCTAAAGTTGCTTGCTTATAAAAGTTTTCCACTCAAGTCTGTAGTTTATTACTCAGTATTACTTGAGAGGAGACCTAAAAATTTTTCCTGGGATTTTAGTTTCCCAGAAATTTTTATCAAAGAAAGGGTGTTACCATTACCATTACATGGTTCTCCATCCAAGGTATATTGAGGCTTTTGGCTTGTCTGTGTTAGAGGGAGAAGATCTCCCAGGTGAAGCTTTAAGTAAAATCTTGAAATTATTTTAACTAGAAATGGTTATTTATGCTATCAGAGAGCCCTGTTAACCTCAGGACTGTAGTCTTATCTATCCAGTTGGTGTGTAAACAGACTTGGAAACAAAAGTGTCAACACTTGATAGAAATTTGAGGTTGATCATTTTCTTAAATGGCATTAAAAGTACACAAAAAAGGGCCAATTATTAAACTATCCAAACCCTGACTCCTTGAAATGACACCACAGTTATTGCACCTAGAAATTCCACAGTAATATTGGGTTGTAACAAGTTAATTTGACCACGTTGCGGTAGCAATCCTTATGAAAAAAATAGTCAATGAGGAATCAATCTTCTCCGTTCTTATTTACTGTGGCTGAATTACTGGCCAACCTGTTGCAAATCTGACTTTACAACCTCCTATTATTAAGTCCGTTAATGGATATGCAATATATATAGCTTTCAGAGGCCATCAAATTGGTTCCAGACATATGTGGGATAAATGATTCTGGCAAGATAACATATGTACACACACATTCAGACATTCTAGGCAGGTCTCAACTTGGAACAAGACGAATGTTAGGAGAAATAACTTCTTTTATGTGTCTGGAAGCCCAGATGCACTTGTGTTAACCCTAATCAGACGGCTAGTCCTCAAGAATCTTCCCTAGATGACTCTGCCAGAAGGCCGCAAAAGAAAATCAAGCCAGAATGCTCACACCCAAGGCTGATTTTAATAAAAACCAGGCTTCTTGTAAACAAATGATGTTAATATCCTCAGTGAGGTTAAGGCAAATTCTTCGCTCCTGCCCCAACTTCCTACTAGGTTCTGAGAAAAGCCCTTTTGGTTAGTTTCTGTATCTGTAAAACCAAGATCATAATGGCACCTGCTTCTTAGGGTTCTAGTTAGGATTATATACATTAAGTAAAGCTTAGAGCATATAGTGTCCCGAGTGTTCTCTATTTTCATTTCTACCATGGCCTTAGTCCGTACACCACAGATTGTTTAGGAGTCCAGCATTGTCCGTAGTTTATATTCAGGACACTGGAAATTTTATCCACAGGACTGAACAGTATTAAATCAATCTAATGATCAAATGAGAAATGTTGGAGACAGCTTATTCTAGACATGATTTAATCAATGATAAGTCTTTTCC